TAAATTTTAGATATTAACATCCTTATTTTTATATTTAATAATTTTATTTTATAATTTATATAATGAAATAAGTCACTCTTAAATTTGCATTTTCACAAGTACAACCTCCCTTGCGTAGTATTACGCAAAAGTTACCGAGATGGACCCGTCAACAACCCAGATGAACACGTAAAAGTTTACATATTCTATCACTGTCGTTATTCCTGAACTTGGCTTTGAAGAATCACTTACCTTACTGAAATGTAGGGCAATGAATCATGAAATTTTTGAAAGGCACCGAACAAGGAAAGATGCATTAAGATCGGTATGGTGTCGCAAATCCTAAAAAAAGGTCAGTACGGTTTCGATAACAACTCAAATTAAGCACGCAAAAGTGGAAAAATTCTGACTCAAACAGAAAGATCGCAGGACAGCCAGGCGAAAATCAATTTGAGTGTTTGTTTCTGTTATTATTGTTATTATTATTATTATTACTGTTATTATTTTTACCATTTTTAACAAATCCAATCAACTTGCACTGCACTTTGACAATATTATATTTAGGCTTTGTTTCACAATAATTTTTTATTCTTTTAACTTCTTAATTTTATATTTATTTATTATTTTAAAAATATATTCATATTTAATCCAGGTGATACTTTAGGTTCCACATTACAGCCTTAAAACCATGTTCTAGAAAGTGGAAACAGAAACATATAGAAATGGTATCCCACAAATGCTGTGTTCTTCCAGCACTATAGAACATTCTGATTAGCATGTGAACAACGTCGAGAAGATCAACCCCGATCAAAATCCAAAATTCAAGATCAAGTTTTCAATATTGCCGTGGGACACAACCCCAACCTGAGATCTCCCTCAAGGGCTTTAGTCTATTCCGTGAAACTGACACCACATTGGCTGTAGAGCAGATTCATAGCTGGCATAAGTTCCAAAAAACAAGCGCTTCTTTTAGCAGCCTCCTAAGTCCTAACCTAACCAATGGATAAAGTTTACGAAAGATTCCACAGTTCACTCGTATCAGCTGATTTGCCCCCAGCAAGATCTGGAAACTCACTACAGCCAACAAAAATATATCTTCGGAATGGAAAAAATAGTTAAAAGATAAACAGAGGTAAAAGGCACTAACCGTATAACCTTTTTCATTAAATCGAGCGCATCTTGATACACTTTCAACATCTCCATCAACCACATATTACTCTGTCTCTTATACACAAGAAGAGGAGTATAAGAGACAGGTATTAACCTTTCTCCTTTTTTTTCTTTTTTTCTTTTTTCTGTGCCCTGTTATATTAACCTTAAAAACTGTTTTATTATTTTTTAAATATTTAAAATATAAATTTTTATTTTACTGCATTTAATTGTGAAATATAAATTATTACATTAAATTTTTTTTGTTTAATAGTAAACATCATATCATCTAATACAATATTTACTATATAATAATTTTTTTAAACATTATTTTACTAATCCTTCATAATTAAAAAGAAACAAATATTTTAATAATTCAAGTGATTTCATAAAAAATTATTAATAATAATAATCAAGTGACATCATAACAGACGGCTACCTGTAGTGGTGTCTTAAAAAAAAAAAAAAGAACATGGGGAAGTAGTTAGTTTGATTTTTTTAAAACAGGCAACAGAGGATGTGGTAGTTAGTTAGATTAGTTTGGTGATATTGCAACCCTTTTTAGCGGGAGTGCCGAATTTACTTCCTGAACGTAATATGTGAGAAA